ACAGTATTTCTCAGCTTTTATAATATTCACATTTTCACTTCATGATTACTGCAAGATATAATCATAATTCATAAGTTTCTTACATAACATGCCTGGTCAGCCCTGAATTGTGTAAACAATATGTTTTTAATTCCCACAATTATTTTCCATTGTCTGCTCCACGAGTTGTTGGCCAAAATTATTTGTTCTTCAATTGAATGTTACAGATAAGAAAGTGGTCACTTGCTCCCCTCTTCTTGCAGCCTACTAACTGTTGGCAATAAAAGGAAGAAGCAATAAAAAGAGAATACATTATCCCTTCTGAAAAATATAGAGTGGATCATGACAAAATAAGATCGTTAGTTATTTTGTGTAGTTTGGAAATATATCTATTCCCAGGAAAGGGAGATACATTCAGTTTGTGGAGCTTGAGAAATGTACCCTACAGTATGACCAATGAAAGGTGAACTAACAAGCAAAGAGGCAGCATTGACATCAGTGAGCCACACACAGAAATGGCAGTGTTGACGCTGCAGTGAAGTCAACATGTCCATATCATATAGCCCAGGTTTTCAATATCCCTTTTATTGTCAGCGTAAGGAAAAAGACAGGACATAGATGAAATTAATATCTCTTTTCAGAAATGTAAGGGCAGTATGATCTTGGTTATAAAGGTCATGATTACCCTATGACAGAAGAAGACATCAAAGTGGAGGCTACGATGGGTCAAAACTGAACCACCACATTTTTCCAAGGCACCTGAATCACTGCATGTCTACTGATACAAATCATGCACCACCATCATCTTCATGTTGCCCACAGAAGGGAAACACTCATGAAAATATCATCGGTGACAAGGGGTAGCTTCAGGACTGAAATCCAAATCCTAATCTGTGTAGAAGGTGGGCTGTTATCCTCCTGAAAACAAATAATCTTCCCTGCTTTGCCATTCCCATGCAGCTGAATTCTAAACTGGAAAGTGCACAGCTAAAATGTGTTAAAGGAGACACACAGTGCTCCGTGTGAGGAAAGGTTTAGCATGAGCTAATTCTTTAAGGGCTTCCTGCTCTCTCCAGTCCACTCCTTTAAATCCCCTCCTCCTCAAAACGTGACAGCTCACTCATCACATCCTCAGCTGCAGGAATAGTCAAAATACCAGTAGCCTGCCTATCCTAGCATGAACAGCAGAACAGCTACACTTTTTGCATCCGGAAAGGTGATCCGGGGAGAAGAAGACACGTCAATGCTGTAGAGCAACCATATACATGAAATAATGTTGCACTCCCTTTTCTCTCACGGAGCACATTCCACCAGCATATATTTTGTACAGGCATCATCAAAAGATCCACAAAAGAACATGATGCTTGTGCCATTATTTCAGAGACACGACTCTGACAATTGTAGCTGACATTCTGATCTGTTGCTAGTATGGGTCAGTGCACATGACACTTCCAAGCTGCGGCATGCATGATTTTTACTGGCCAGCCTAGGCTGATTTTTAGCTTTTAGTTCCAAGGGCTGAGTTGGTTATGTGTGTGAAGAAGAAGAAGAGTTTGGATTTGATATCCCGCCTTTCACTTCCCTTCAGGAGTCTCAAAGCAGCTAACATTCTCCTTTCCCTTCCTCCGCCACAACAAACACTCTGTGAGGTGAGTGGGGCTGAGAGACTTCAGAGAAGTGTGACTGGCCCAAGGTCACCCAGCAGCTGCATGTGGAGGAGCGGAGACGCGAACCCGGTTCCCCAGATTACGAGACTACCGCTCTTAACCACCACACCACACTGGCTCTCATGTGCAGATACAACTCATGGAGGCAGATCAGGTTTCCACACTTGATTGGAAGTACAGATTTTCAAATGACTTCAGTCAGATGTATGAAGTCCACCCATTCTTCCCTCAGCATAGCATGCATGCAAACCAGTTCAATCCACAGTCGTATAGCTAGATGTCCTAAGGTTTACTTTCAAAATGGACTTGGACTGGGCAGTCTGTCATATACCGTGGTACCTCGGGTTAAGAACTTAATTCGTTCTGGAGGTCCGTAATTAACCTGAAACTGTTCTTAACCTGAAGCACCACTTTAGCTAATGGGGCCTCCCGCTGCCGCTGCGTCGCCACCGTGCGATTTCTGTTCTCATCCTGAAGCAAAGTTCTTAACCCGAGGTACTATTTCTGGGTTAGCAAAATCTGTAACCTGAAGAGTCTGTAACCTGAAGCATCTGTAACCCGAGGTACCACTGTAAATGACTCTTTCAAACAGCCATTCAGGTAGAGGACAGTCTTCTGTAAATGCATGACACTCTAATTTCAACATGTAGTAATGGGGCCATACATATCAGTTCCACATAGGCTATTAAACATGCAAATGCTTTGCATTGGGTAACTGTGTAAAAGAAAATTATATCAGAGATCAGTCTTTCAGTCCTGTCCTGATTCCAGGTTTGCTCCAAAGTTGGAAGAGGCCGACAAAATCCAGATGAAAGTGATCTCTTTTAAAGTCACAGGCCAACGCGGACATAATCTCATGGGGAAAGCCTTAAGTTACGCAAGATCATCTACTTCAAGATGGCTGGCATTTGTGACTCAACATCTGGGAAAGCAGCTCCCAGAATTGTAGCTCTGCTTACTTCAAATGCAGCCAGGCCTGCTATTTTGTTTTTACTCTGAGCACAAACCGTGGCTAACCTAATCTGGGATTCTGATGCGCGTCCAAAGTCCATAGCCTTGACCCACAGCAAAGAATGCAAATGTCTCAAAATTTAAACAAGATTAACTATTTTAATTGTATTTAAATAGAAATGCTTGGCTAAATTACATGTGCTTTTCCATTCTGTCATCTCTTTTCCAATTCTAGATATTTTTCTGTGCACTTATATGGTAAAGTTGTCCAAGACTGTTGTCATAGTTAAGAAATAATCCTTGCTGTGGCTATAATATGATGCAGTTGAGGTGCTGCTATGTTCAGTGCGTATAGCGTGAGACTGCCTTGTAGGATATATTCATGCTCAACACTCCTGATCCTCAGGCCAACTGCATGGCACCCATTTGTCTACGTGATGCCCTCAGTCTCCAGGGCACTGTATATGTTCCATTCTTGTGCTTCCTGGCAGGTGGTTACCAAGCAACTATGTCGCTTCAGAGTTTTATTGTCCTTTCATCCACTGGGTGACTGCATGGGTCACAGCTGCTGCTCTTAGGAAGGGAGGAAAAGGGGAGCTTTAGGGAAGACAGCCACACATATGAACAGCTCCGTAAGAACCAGAATATTTCATCTCACGTGGCCAAAATATACTGTTAGTGTTTGGAAGTGGGAAAGGCATCCACTGCTAATAAAACAAGAAGAAAAGGCTCCAGTTCCAAACCTTTACAAACAACTAAAATAAGAAGGAAGGATAAGGTTGTATTATGGCACATAGATTTCTTTGGAGAAAACCCTATATTCCACAGAGAGGGATAAATAAAGAAACAATGGCTTTTTAATATGCAGAAAGGGAAACACTCATAAAACAGGAAAAAAAACCTGTCCCTAATTTTGTATTATTATGTTATTGTAAGAATTTCAGTGTGCATCAGCTGACAAGGAAAATTATGCAGTTATGGTTTACATTCCAAGTGTCTCTTTCAGTCTCCTTATTTGTCTTGCAGAGAAGGACGGCAACGTGATTGTAAAATGTGTTAATTCAATGCAGGAATTTTTCCTCTTGGACCCTGTCCTTTCTCTTGGGTTTGTAACCAAAACCTTATTCATCCTTCTCTCTGTTTCATTTCCATGTTTTAAAAAAAGACCCCATCTTGTGCATGCAATTGTTCGTTTCTTAATGCTAAAAATATCACATTAAATAAAGTAGGTTTTCAGAAAAACCCATCATCCTGAACTGTTATAGGAGTTTCTTAGGGCTGATTCTGAGATGATAGTTTTCATATAATAAGATGCTCTTATTTATTTATTTAGTCAAGTACAAGGCCCCATTATTCAGTCAAGTAGACTCCCATAGCAGCATACACTCAGTAAAAAAAAAAAGATAAACCCTCAAATTTACAGTCTAAAGGATATGACACAAAAGGGAAAGGGGAAGGGGAAGGGAGGTGGAAAAAAGCAAACTCAAGCACTAATTCTTAAAGCTTGAAAGTTTTTAATAATGATCAGCTATGATGTAAGCCAGTGAAAGCCAAACTTGGCCCTCCAGCTGTTTTAGGACTACAACTTCCATCATCTCTAGCTAACAGGACCAGTGGTCAGGGATGATGGGAATTGTAGTCCCAAAACAGGTGGAGGGCTGAGTTTGGCAATCACTGATGTAAGCAGTTCAGGTAGCCTGATGGAATGGCAGCTGAGGGAGGTCTAAAGGCAGAGCCAATGGAATTGTCCTACTTCCTTTCTCTTCCTTCATCCTGAAACTGATGTGGCACAGCCCATTCTGCCACTGTCATAAAGTGGCAGCACGACAGGGAAGAGGAGGAAGAGGATCCCAGCAAGTGGTGTAGCCAGGACTGGGACACACTGGAGCAAGCTGGGGATGGGGGAGGAAGTACTCACATGGTGATGGAGGATGACAAGGGGATGGAGGTCAGTGCACAGGAACCAGAGCAGCAGGACGCATCACCAGAGCCAGAGGGGCCCCTGTCTCCATGAACATGGCAGGCACTGAGGTGTAGGGAGCACCAGGAGGGATGCTCCAGGAGGCTGAGGCAGGCAAGGGTCCACAAGCTAGCCAGATGGGGCTTGCTAGCTCTGGGAGGAGGGGTGTGATTCCTCAGATGGATTAGGCTCAGGACAGGTGAGGGTCACATGTCTCCTCTAGCCCAGATGCTTCAATCAGCATGCAAAGTACAAAAGGGAAGCACTCAGCTGCTCAACTGCCCATGCTGATGGATCTTGACTTGGGTGCTCCCGAACCTCTATGGGACTGTGCTTCAGGTTTTACTGTATCCTGACTGCAGGACGTCAGACTTGGCTGCTTGGATTGACCCTGAGCTGTGTTTCCTGACCTTTGGACTTTGGATTTGAACTTTGCTTGTGTGGCTTAACCCCTGGACTTCGAGCATGACATACTGACTTGCTGCCAGGTAGGCCAGGGGTTCAGGACAGCCACCTTTTTCTGCTGTATGTGTAGCTCACGCCTGGATTCAGTAGGGCTCACTCCCAAGTAAGTGTGTATAGGATTGCAGACAGAGTGTCTGTGAACTTTACTCAGCTGCTTCACTTTACAAGAGAGATCATCGTAGGCCAGGTCCAAGTGACAGTAGGACAAAACTCAAACATCTGGAGTTGCAACAAATGAGGCAGCCTAATGTAGAGATGGGGAACTTGTGGCCCTCTAGATGTTCTTAGATGCCAGCTCCCACAAGTTCCAGCCAGAATGGCCAAAGGTCAAGGATGATGGGAGCTGAAGTCTAACAACATCTGAAGGGCCACATAGTCCCTATCCCTGGCCCAGTGAATGAGGAATAAATTGTCAAGGGAATTCCTTACATGCCCTTCTCAGAGAGGTATACATACACCCTGAATGTCATTTTCTGTTTTAAAAAATGTTTTGAGCCAGTCTTAATTTCCTGGCATGAATGAATGATGAATTTCTGACTTCTTCCAAGCTAAACAACAAACAGATCAGTGTGTTTTTTTCTTCACCACTGGATGGAATCTATGCTCTGAAAGATATCATCTTCGGCTCAAACATGTGAATAATCAATGCTTCTGTGATGCTTCCCCAATGTTACCTCATAATTACATATTATATAATTTGAAGCACCTTGACTACATGAACATCATTTGATGTTTATAATGATCGGGTGGCAGGGATACCCAGATCTCTTATTTCCCCATGCAAAGAGACCATTATTTAAAATGTTGCCTCTGTTATATAGATCTTTGCTTGCCATATTGAATTGCAATGCACATTCCTCAAACCTATGTTCAATTTTACTTTATGGCCATTTAACATCTCCAGGAAATTTCACATGGAACCTCTTGGCCTACCTCTGAAAATATCTTAGGATAATTACTCAAGGGGCCTTTGAAAAGTTGTAGTGCTACATGTGTATACATGGGAACCCGACATCAGAAAGCTTGGCAAAGCAAAGCAGAGGAAGAATATGATGAGGTAATTTGGTTTATCATACAACTCTTAAGCACAAAATGTTTGCATTTTCCTATTTTGCTCTTGTGTTACTTACTGAAATAGCTGAGCACTGATAATGCTATATTCTCAAAGCATCTTATTAGATTTAAATAAACATGACCAGAACTGCTCGGAAAAATTATGTTTTCTTTTGATCAGATGAACACACATGGGCCCCTCCAGATTTTATTGTGTGTTCATGGTGGTATTGGGTGATTATACATTATTCTGCTTTCAACAGTGTTAGGGGAAGGGTAGTACTACCTCTGGTGGGGGGTACATCATGCTCTTGTTGAGGGAGACCAGGATGTGTGGATCAGGACAGTTTGCATTGATATCTGCAAAAAAACAGAGTGGTATTCAGTGCTAGTCCTATTACCAATTGATGGTAATGGACATGGCTAATTTAGATTCATTAATTTCAGTGGGTCTACTCTGAGGCCGAATACAACCTCAATTCCTCCACCATTATTACTTCTGGTCCTTTGCATCCTTGTCTCTGTGTTCCAGAACCCAACTACTGATCTGCCTTTAACAGCACCATTTGGCTTTTTTATGCTTTTCTGCCTTTTCCTCAGCTGCATCCCAACTCTGGACCGACAGTATTCCTTCTAGTAAGAAAGCAATGGTGTTAAAATGACTGTCATAAATGATCTTGTATATGTAATCGCAGTACCCATACAGTCTTCTCTTCCTTCGTGTCACATTTTGATAAATAATGAGGCCTGTATATTCAGACACACTCAGCACTTTCAGACAGTTTTGATCTTAATAGAAGCTGAGAATATTCAAACCCCAGCACAAGACACTGTTTAGAGCTGAACAGATAATGGCCAGACCACTAGTGAAGGCTAAAGTCCACCTGACAAGATCAAACACAAATCGTATCTCCACAGAAATGTGCCTGGTGTTGCTCTCAGGCAGTACAAAACAACTCATTCTTTCTGCCACAAAAATTCCAACAGAATCAGATAGGCCCTTGAGCCACCAGCTGCTCCTTTACTTTGTGGCTCAAAGAATGCGTCTGAATTTGAAAACTTGTCACCAAGCTGAATCTGTGACACACCTGTCTCTCTTGTCTGTCTCATTCAGAAAAGCCTTACAGGGTAAGGCCGTAAAATTGAGATTTAACAAGACATCGCAGAATGCTAAACGTAACATACAGTACATGCTCCATATGCCCCACAATGGGAACGTCCTCATGTGTTACAGTTTGTAAACAGGGACAACAGCTGTGGAATGCCATTGGCGGCCCCCCATTAATTCTGAGAGGACTGTCAGACAAAACATTAGATGAACTTCTCTCTTTTTTTAAAGGAACCGGAGATTAACCAACCATTTGTGTTATTTGGCATCAAAGAGAAGACACCACCGAGCATGAGCACCGCAAATCATCAAACAGTAGCAAGAAACATCAGTACGTGCAAGTGAATTTTGTGTGCTTGTGACATTTATTTCAATGCGGTGGGCAAGACTGAAATGGTAACTTGAGAGAGGCTGCAGGGAGGGACTCAGGCCGCTGATAGCCAGAGGGAACTTCAAGATAAATGGCCTCACCACCAAGGACATCCCTTGTTCATTATTTTGTTTATTTAAGAGCACTTACATTCTGATTAACGTTAGAAAAGAAAGAAAAGTCTAAGCAGTGATACAATATTAAAAACAAACAATATTATTTAAGCAAAAAATACAGCCTAGAACAGTAGTCTAAAAGCACGCCAAAGCATGTGAAAGCAAATAAAACAATAAGTTCGAGGGAGTCAAGCACATCAAAGAAGGTCCAGTCTTACGAATGTGGAAAAGCCTGGGCAAAAGGAGAAGGTTTTACATGATATCTGAAGCAACTGGTGGCTGCCACAGAGGGAAGAGCATTTCATCACATAGGGGCAACCACAGCTATAGGCCAGTGTGAATCAGGTCCTGACCTACAGATTCATAGAGTTGGGACCACAAGGGTTATCTAGTCCATCCCCTGCAATGTAGGAATCTTTTGCCCAATGTAGGGCTTGAACCCATGACTCTGAAATTAAGAGTCTCATGCTCTACCAACCAAGCTATCCCTGGTATACAAAAGCTTATTAAGTCAGATTTCCTTGCTGATATGAACACCTAGAAGATTCTGGTCCTCGTTGCTACTTACAGGGTTGCCATATACCCGGAATTTCCCGGACATATCTGGAACACTGCCGTCTCTAGCAGGTTCCAGGCAGAAATCAGTAAAAATGTCCAGGAAAATCCGGACGAACGGCACCCCATGTCAGCAGTGCCAATTTTCCATAAAAATAGCTCAAAAACAGCAAAAAAAAAATATTGTTTTTTGCTATTTTGCAAATCAACAACTTTTCTGTCCAGATTTTCACTGTTTGAAATATGGCGACCCTAGTTTGCAATGTCTGACGGCAACATTTTGTAAGGACTGTTCCCCTCCTCGTGCAACTTATTCTGAAGCAGGATGGGGCACACCAGTTATGGCTAGTCAGAAATCTACTTTCTGGATTCTCAGCAACTTTCCTTCATTGCTGTCAGGGTACTGCCATCAGAACAGGGTAGGGAATCAGAGGGGCAGTTGGGTTACAGGGAACCTCTGAAACTCTTGCGAAGCAGTTCCTCTTTCTATGGCGAGGAAAGCCACACTCCAGTGGGGAAGAGGGGAAAGGACCAGAGGATGCTGCTGGGAGCCTCAGCACCGCTCCTGGCCAAGCCAGCCAGGAGGGAAGCACACCCCTTCCGTCGCGCACCCTGCGCAGAGGTGTAAAACACAAAGAAAGAAGGAAAAGGCTGGGGGTGATGAAGCTCTTATGTTGAGGGAGGTCCCGGAAACAACTACTCCTGGATTCTGCTAGCGATTGAGGCAGACATGAACTTGTGGCTCTGCACTGTAAATAGTTTTGCACCAAAATAAACCCTGTAAAAGACAGGTCTGAGTCCCGACTGATTACTCAAGAGCAACCACCACTGCCGTCTGACAATTGCCCTTCATTTTGGCATGGTTCCTTCTTCTATCCTGAATGAATTGTAAGGTTAAATATCCCACTCCCTCACTCAGCAAAATAACATCAGCACAAGACCTTCCAGCGAAGAGTCTGACAACTAATAGCATCTTGAGAATAGGCATGTAAGGGTTTGAAAGTCCTAGTCTCCAGATATTTCCAAACACTTTTAAGATGAAAGTTGTTCAGTGGTGTGTGTTGACTTGTAGACCCACACAAAAGTGTGTTTTTTAAATTTGTTCTCCTTCCATAGTAAAATTTGCCAAGAGAATGATGGCTCAACATGCAGTAAATCCTGAAAGCTGTTTTAAGAAAAGTTAATTCCCCCAACACCCTGTTTATTCCGAAACAAACTTATTTGTTCTGTTTAAAATACTGGCAGCATTTGTTTAAGGAGTACCATCGGACTCACACATCACATCATTTCCACAATCCAAGCAAGGAAATTAAAAGTTAAAGACATAATAAATCTCCTGCTGTTTGGAGGGACAGCTTGTGAATCTACACAAAAGCCAGGTCAAGTGTTTGCTGAAGTACAGTACAAAAAAAGTATCCAGAGACAGCAAAGGACCTTGGCTGCAGAGATAACCATCTGGTTCTGGACATTGGTAGCCCTGCATCCTTCCCTTTTTTCATGTGTGTCCAAAATCACAACACTGCTGCTAAGTGGAATTCTAATTCCACTGTCAGTAGCCGAAGAAAAGTATTATTATTTTTTATTAGAGGGGGTGCTATCCAAGATTCCAGGTAAAAAGCCAAAATATGCATTTGCAAAGCTTTTCAGCAATGAAATAAATACAAGTCCTTCCTATAAAGCTTTTTTGTAATACAACAAGTCCATCACGCACAGGATTTCACTCCAAGTAAAATCCATTATTTATTGCACACTTGCTATAACAAGTTAGTACTCAGTTTGAATTACAGAGAAGAGTGCTGCGCTGAAACCCTACACCTCCAAAGGTTTTCAAGAAAGGATATTAAAAAGGATTTCACACTTACATTAATCACTCTGCACACTCTAAAGAGGTAAGTCTGGGATATATAAAATGAATGACGGGGGAGAAGTGGTCTTCATTACCCCGTTGCCCAAATATATTTTTGGAGGAGGGAAACTGGAGTCCTCTCAACTCTGAGTCTAGAATTTGCAACAGCTTTGCCTTGGAGTATCTGTAAAAAAAGCACAAAAAAAAAAAGCACAGTGCATTCTGGGTATACAGGCATGCAAATATGTACGCCCAACATAATTATTAATAGAAATACAAAACAAAGGGCTCTCAATGGAATTGAAGGGATCCTATGGGTCAATTGTGGGCCCAGGAGGAGGAATTCTGGGGGCTTGAACTTGATGCATCAACAGTCTCTTACACAATAAGTCATTGTTCATGTTTCCCAGTGATGGCCTATATATTAATAAATGATGGTGTGTTTGCTTTGGGACTGGCCTAGAAAATGACACAACTCCAGAACCAACCCCTCCACTGTGTGCAAAGGAAATAAAAGAATGAAGTGAGGAATCAGTGCCGCTTAGTGCTGTTTGCCATTGTCACAGAAGAAGATATGGCATGAAATGTACATTAAGGAAAATCACTTAAGTGTTTGTGCTTCACTTGCCCATAAAAGGAGTGGGAGTGAGAGAGAAATTAAATGGTAACTAATCGTACAGCGACTCAGCTCCCAGATGCACCATAATCTCTGCTGTGGCTTGTATCTGCTCTTCCATTTTAGTTAGACTGAAAGGAAAGGGATTAGATACGATTGAGAGATGGGGGTGGTAGGGTTAGGTCACTTCCTGTGTTACTTTGAAAAGTGGCTACAGAGTAGGCTAACAGAGCTCTACATGGTGGCAATTTTGCTCGGGGCATATTATAAAGTCATAATGACTTTATGTGTGTGTCACTTCTTTTGCATATACTGTACATACATGGTGCTCCAAGCAATTCGCAGGAAAAGTACAAACAATTAGAGACTTGCCTATGGAACTGTGACCAGCTCTCATTTCCAGGGAACAGGATGATACACCCATTGGCTTAGGGTGCTTCCAGACCATCAAAAGCTTGCAGGAGTTATTCAAGTGCATACTGGTCATTTAGGTTTGCCCAATGAAAGTGGATTAAAGTGCTCTACCACCCTAACACAACACATCTACTTTAAAAACAAACAAAACAAAAGAAAACTTTTTGCAGTTAGAAAAGTGAAGGGGAGAAAGCACTGCAAAGTGTGGGATGAACGAATGATGAACAGGTGTATCAGGATGAATGCTCATTGTCATATAACCTTCCCTGTAAACAAATGGGAATGAAAGCTCAGTAAAGATTGGACATAATCTACCAGTAACTACTGCGTAGGCTTTCTGGAAGCAAATCAGGATGAATGTTCAATAAGCAGGTAATATGAAGAACCCTTAGATTGTAAGCAGCAGATAGGAAAGTTGTCAGCTCTGGTGATGGCAGTTTCAGTTTTCAATTTTCTAAAAAGCCATTCAACCAAATGGGGATGTTTTATGGGCTCTCCCTCCATTTCCTCATTTGTTTGATGTTTGCTACCAGACTGCTAGTAATACACGGCTCACAATGAGCCCTCTTGTGGATAATTTTAGAGGGGATGCCTTGATGCTTCCCACATCCATCTTTGCCCCGACACACAACTTGACTGTTGTACAGATGATGGAATACAGAAATTGTAGCTAAGCGAATATCAAAATGCAGACACTAAATCACTGGCCTTATTAAAACTGTAATAATTTAGAACTGGGAAACAACATCATTTGGCAAGTGCTGCGGAATGAAAACGAGAGAAACTCTTGCAGCAGTTATGAGTTAGGAGGTCAGCAAATGCCAATCATATATTCCAGCACAATTTGATAGCTGAGCTGGAATTATGATTGTCATGGAATGCTGAAGTGTTTGCATGTTTTAAAGGAGAGCAAGTGCTTCCTAGGTTTTGAGGTTAAATAGCTTACCCATTAAGACTTCTGTGTTGTTACATATCTAGTTATGTTAAAAATGTACCCCATCTAAGGGACTCAAACTGAGCTCTCAGGGTGGCTTATAATCCTTTCCCTAAGTCTTCAAAGCACCACAGATTTATTATCTCAGCAGCTCTTATGCCAGCATATAAGATCAGCTGTACCGTATTAGCCCGAATATAAACTGCCCCTTTAAAATTCCAGGGGGGGGGAATAATACCCAAATATAAGCCATTCCCTTAAAATTCCACAGGCACTCAAACCTGTTCTGTTTTATCGTATGTCTGTTTCAGCAGCGATATCATTAAAGCCAATTTTTGTAAGGTCGTGAATTTAAGCTGCACTTTAACTTTTCAGTGTCAGAATTTGGAAAAAAAGTGAGGCTTATATTCAGGCCAGTACGGTAATTGTTGTTGGCATCTCAGGAGACAATGGAGTGTGCCTCTAAGACAAACCGCTGTGTTAGGAGCACCAAAGTGACCTCCCCAGGGTGCAAGCCTGCGCAGTGTGTATGGAGGTCTTGGGGTGCCCAGATGACAAGACCTTCCTCTCGGCCTCACTGATCTGGTCCAAAGGAAAGCAGAGAATACCTGTGGTACGAGCTTGGCTGCAGGAGTTGCCAGAAGGAGGTGTACAAGGCACCATCCAACTGTCATAGAGACTCCACTCTGGATTTGTGTAGGGTTTACTCCTTGACCTTTTCTTCTCCTGAAGATATCCTACAAGGCAGCAGAGGTTTAGGACCAGAGTTTTCCTTCTAGATGAGCTACCTTCCCAGGTTGGTGAACTCCATCTGCCCCTCATTTCTCTCTACAGCACATGCAGAAACTGTCTGTTTGAGTGTTGAACCCACAGAGGTCTGTTAACTTTGGATCCTCCCCTCCTCTATTTAATAAATCACTGTATAGGGAAAGAAGGCAATCATGGAAAAAGATGAACTAGAAAAGGAAAAACAAAAATAAAATCTATATCCAGTTCCATGGGTTAAGATACAGTTGAGTAGAACAATGAAAAATTAACCCAAACACCCATTAGTATTAATTAAACTACATTCAGTCTTCATAACATAACAAGTCTATTTTAATCAAAATCAATTTATATTCATTTTT